TACACTAGCGCCCATTCGTGTCAGTGAGTGCGTACAATTCTGTCATCCAATTTATCCATTAGAGGTGGCAAGGAATTGAAAACAAGCTATTCCTTGTTGACAAGGACCTAAAGGAGACAAAGTCGAAGACCTTATCATATGACGGATGAGAGGTCAATGAAAAGATCCTACTTCATTAATGGGTAAACCATAACCATTTAAAATGTCCACTTTGTGTGAGAAAGTGCGATTATTATATGTCGTGTGATTGATAAGTCGTTATACAAAATGTCGTTTTATGAAGTGTCCTAAAGTAAAATGTCATGTGTAGAAATGATTTAATTTAATAAAGTGTCGTGTGTACTAGACTTGAGCTAGTACTGTGACAATCTGAGCTATCTTTTGGTTTGTGCTATCTTCTAAACCAATGTCTCTCCATCCGCCCTGCTGTCCCCAACGTCGAGCTTGGGGCACGAAATCTGCTTTGATGTAAAATGTCATGTTATGTGATGGGGTGGGTGAATATACATTGCTGTTCTTTATTTCATAAATGTATTTTATTTAAATGTCATGATTATGTCTCTTTTGATACAATTTTTATGTGCAGCGCGGTGAGCTGGGGTACCGCGCTTATAAGACGTATTATTATTATTATTATTATTATTATTATGTCATATAACGTCGTGAAATAAACTGTTTCATAAATACGTTTCTTATATCTAAGTTAAATAATATAATATACTTTGGCTGAGATGGCACGTGATTAAATAAATCTCGTGTTTCAAAATTTCGTTTGATCAAGTCTCGTGTGATCAGGTCTCGTGTGATCATGTTTCATGTGATCAAGTCTCGAGTGATCAAGTTTAATGTGATCAAGTCTCGTGTGATCAAGTCTCGAGTAATCAAGTCTGGAGTGATCAAGTTTCATGTGATCAAGTCTCGTGTGATCAAGTCTCGAGTGATCAAGTTTCATGTGATCAAGTCTCGTGTGATCAAGTCTCGAGTGATCAAGTTTCATGTGATCAAGTCTCGAGTGATCAAGTCTCGAGTGATCAAGTCTCGAGTGATCAAGTCTTGAGTGATCAAGTCTCGTGTGATCAAGTCTCGAGTGATCAAGTCTCGAGTGATCAAGTCTCGTGTGATCAAGTCTCGTGTGATCAAGTCTCGTGTGATCAAGTCTCGAGTGATCAAGTTTCGTGTGATCAAGTCTCGAGTGATCAAGTCTCGAGTAATCAAGTCTCGAGTGATCAAGTCTCGATTGATCAAGTCTCGTGTGATCAAGTCTCGATTGATCAGATTTCGTGTGATCAAGTCTCGTGTGATCAAATCTCGAGTGATCAGGTTTCGTGTGATCAAGTCTCGTGTGATCAAGTCTCGAGTGATCAGGTCTCGTGTGATCAAGTCTCGAGTGATCAAGTTTCTTGTGATCAAGCCTCGTGTGATCAAGTCTCGAGTGATTAGGTTTCGTGTGATCAAGTGTAATGAGATTAAACTAATTCCTCGCACTTATCATGTTCACTATTCCTTTTAAAACTACCCACCCTCTATCACATCTATAATCTCTCCCACTAAGCCTCAGTGATGCCCCCACGAACAAACACTGGAAACCTGCCACCTCGACACCCAACCGTGCCGTGTTGCTGCGCTGAGCGCCGCGTGCACCTTTGATGTCATACTCTCCTGCTGCTAAATCAATGTGTCATTGATTTCTGGGGTTTAACAGATGTCAAAAGTTCAACGTCACACGCCTCATCTCCGCATCAGTCAACTGGAAGGTAACCTGACTTACCCTAGACGACATTTGGTTTATGGGGATATGTTCTTGGTTTGTTGTTTGCCACTCTGTGCCTTGTTGGTGGTCAGTACGTTTATTATGTTACTGGTTGGTGGTCAGTACGTTTATTATGTTCCTGGTTGGTGGTCAGTACGTTTATTATGTTCCTGGTTGGTGGTCAGTACGTTTATTATGTTCCTGGTTGGTGGTCAGTACGTTTATTATGTTCCTGGTTGGTGGTCAGTACGTTTATTATGTTCCTGGTTGGTGGTCAGTACGTTTATTATGTTCCTGGTTGGTGGTCAGTACGTTTATTATGTTCCTGGTTGGTGGTCAGTACTTTATAATGTTCCTGGCGTGTGTTTGTTGCTTGCGACTCTGTGCCTTGTTGGTGATCAATACGTTTATTATTTCCTGGCGTGTGTTTGTTGTTTGCCACTCTGTGCCTTGTTGGTGGTCAGTATGTTTATTATGTTCCTGGCGTTTGTTTGTTGCGTTGTCAGTTAGTGATTTATAAAGTGTAAAGTCCCATTTCAATGTAAACTTCTAGAATTTGGTCAGTATATTTTTTTTAATTTTTAGTCAGCACATGTTTGTGTTTCCTAGTTCGTAATTTTTTTTATACTGATCACTATATGTTTGTTTGCCTTGATAAGTGTATGTTTGTATTTCCTGGTCAAACTATGTTTGTGTTTCCCGGTTACTGTGTGTTTTCATCTCCGAGTTAGGGAATGTTTGCATTTTTAAGTCGAATACGTGTTTTACAAATTAAGCTAGCTGTGCCACAACGAATTTAAATGTATCTATTCAGAAACGTCTTGTGGACGTCAGTTGAGCAACACTGTATTTAAATTATCTATTCAGAAACGTCTTGTGGACGTCAGTTGAGCAACACTGTAATGAAATGTATCAATTCAGAAAAATCTTGCAGACGTGAGTTGAGGAACTAATTACACTTCTGGAAGTAACCATCATACATTTTAAATGCCTTCCCACATAGTTGTGTCAAGTGTTCAATGAACCGTCACAGTGTTGCTCAGCTGACGTCGGCAAGACGTTTCTGAGACATCGTTTGAAAAATCTCCTTTAAAAAAGTTGCTTCTTCTTTTAGCCTTCAACTTAAAAATCCAATTTTCCATATTTCTTTTTCCATTTACTATAGAAGTTTTTCACATATAATATTTTACGATGTTTCATATTTCATACACAATTTTTTTACATGTTCATATTTATATGTAATGTCTATATCTCTTTTATATGCTTGAATGTTTCTGTTGCAGTGCAGCAGTCAGACTTGTACATGCCTTTAAGATGTTTGAAGATAAATCGGAGCTTTCTCTTTTTTATAACATATGTCACGTTATTTTCTTTCTCCTTAATTGTTCTTAAGAAACCTTTAACCAATAAAGAATATTTATTTGTACCATATTTAAAACTTAGGAATTAAATCATGTACCTCTGTAAAATTGGGGGGGGGGGGGGGGGCTTTTTTGTTTTTATTAATTTTTTTTTTTCTTTTTAATTTTTTGGTGGGTTGTTGTGCATTTTTGTGTTTAATCAATTTTATCTCTTGATTTGTCTAAGCGACTTACATATTTTTGAAAAGCCAAGAGTTCCTAGCCATTGGGAAAGACGTTCAATTTCTTTGATGATTTATTACGTTTATAAGCCTCACATTTATAACTGTGGTCTCACTAACCTCATACACCAAGCAGCTTTATTAACTGCTAGGAATAAACCGTCAAACAGCGGGGGTGTCAATTTTTATATTTCCCATCTGCTTAAGTTACTTCACAAAACATGCATTAACGTACTTTTAAAGTAACCCAATCAGTACGGGACATTTCATTTCGCGCCCCTATTCAACAAAAGCGTTAGTGTCAAATATATATGCCTAGAGAAATATTAATTGTTATTGACAAATGATGATATTAATTGTTGAGAGAAAAAATGAACTAATATCTTAAATTGAACATTTAAAAACACTGTTTAAGTGAATAAAGAGTTTATAAATCGGAACTAGAAAGTAGAATATATCATTTTATTTATATTTCCACTTTAGAAATTTCTTCAAATTATTTTTTCAACAGGTTCTCATTATTTATTTGGAGGAGTTCCATACTGATGATTCTATTACACACGCTTGAATCGAGGAGGCTGGACAATACATTGCTATGCAGGCTACTATTGGCGATATTCTCGTAGACTCAGTCGGTCGTTGCTATCTCAACATTTATGATAGCGTCAACTTATTCTCATTGACGCGTAATTTTTCGTATGTTTGATGATAGCAACGGACCACTATTCCGTGACGAGGCATGAAAACAATGACGTCTAGGAATAGATCTATATGGATGGCTTGAATTTAAAAAATTAAAACGTTGTCTTAAAAATACTTTGACCAATAGAATAAAGATTTTTTAATGCATTGTTTTATTTTCAATGTTCACAAACAAATTATCATGGAAACTTTCAAGAAAACTACAAAAGGAAACAAGAAATTGATTTATATCTAAATAAAGAAACATTTGTAAGAACATCTGATGTCTTTCAGCTGCTGGGGTAAAATGGTTGAGAATAAAATGGTCTGCTGACCATGACAAAATAACGTGTCCACGCATTGCTCGGTAAAGCAAGTTGATGACGTATGTGTGAATGGCACATGGATGACGTCAAACTGAATGTGCACTCTAAGATAAAAGATATCTTCAAGAACTTTTCAAAACATTTCATCTGTGATAAAAAATGATGACGAATTCCGAGTGGCTCTAAGTTTTACAAACTCTGAATTCATCTATAAAAATCGCAGAAATTTTTCATCCTCTTCTGTTCGGGGCCAGTGCTGAGCAAGAAAAAAAATGTGCAAGTCCATCATTTATGAAAGGCTCTTACGTTTCTTAATTAGGAAAGTTTTCTCTTTGAAGAATATTTTAAAAAATAGAACAAAAGGCTTTGTATTCAAATGCAGAAGTTAATCGTTACAAACTTTCAGAGAGCTTCTTACTTGTCTTGTATTGAAACGAGCTGTAACCGAGCTATTACACGGCTGTAACCGAGCTATTACACGGCTGTAACCGAGCTATAACAGAAACATACTGACGCTATCTAAAATATTCCTAGAAAGCTTCTGACAATGATGAGTGTTTCTACTATTTTCTCCAGCCTAGTTGTTTTAGGATTTCTTCAAATCTCCAGAGCGGATCTTATGTTATATGGTTTGAGCCCCGCCACGTTCGCCGACCCCGGAGACATTAACATCGGTGTGATACTCTCCAACACACTTAAGATGTCTGGGAAAGCTTGTTACGAGACCCAGATATTCGGCTCCTGGGGCATCGAGTACCCGGAGGCCGTAGCGTTTGCCGTCCACCAAATCAACAATAATTCAAATCTACTATCAAACATTTCCCTGGGGTTTTACATCCTAGACGACTGCTCATCCACAGCAATGGCCTTGGCACAAGGGCTCAAATTCGTCCAGCAAAACGAGAAGAGCTATAACGATTATCATGAAGGGAACTGCGCCACAACGACGTCAGCTACCGGAAGTTTTAACGATGTGATCGGCGTGGTGGCACCAATGACCAGCGTGGCGGCTGTGTCTCTCTCCTACATCTATAGCGCCGCAAAAGTTCCCCTCGTTGGCTACATCACCTCGAGTGATGAACTGAGCGACAAAACTCTTCACCCGATCTTTAACAGAGTCATTGGACCTGACAAATTCCAAGCCCAAGCGATTCTTGAGTTCATTTCCCACATGGGGTGGTCCTACATTTCCGTCATCTATTCCCTGGGACCTTACGGGGAGAGGGCGTTCGACACAATCAAGGCAACAGCGGCAATTCTTAAAATATGCATCGCAACGTCACACCGAGTCAGTGACATGGATGACACAGACCCCGTCGCTCGGAGTTTGCTTACCGTCCCCAGGGTGCATGTTGTCATCTTATTTGCGGAGGAAATTCCAATAAAACATCTGCTGGTGTCAATGGAGAAATATAACGGCAAGGGACGATTTATTTGGATCGTGAGTGACTCTTTTTCCATAGCGAGCAAAGAGTCCATCGCCCAGCACAAGGATATATTAAAAGGCGCATTCACATTTTTCTTTAATGCTTCACTGGTTCCAGAGTTCTACGAGTACATCAGTAAACTAAACCCCGAGACGTCCACCAACCCATGGATGATGCAAGCCTGGGAGGATCTGACAAGCTGTTCGTTTCTTCGTGGAACTTGTGATCCGAAGGCCGACATACTACGGCAACCTTTGTTTGAATTTATGCTCACGCCGGCGCTACTCATGGACGCTGTGAACACAATAGCCTACGGCGTGCATGGTTTAATTCGAGACGTGTGTCTCGGTGCAAACGTCTCCGAAATCAGTGAATGCGTCAGAGGACATGATTTAACGGGGTATATCCGAAATGTCACTTTTCGTGGCTACACGGGAGACATAAAATTTGATCAAAATGGTGACATCTTAGGGAAGTACGTCATTTCTCAGCTGGTTTATGATACCGTGGATACACCACTCGGATACGGCGATACCAACTCGTCAAGGGTCGTGGGACTCGTTGCGAAACATGTTGCAACTTACGACCGGTCTACGGAGCACATATCGTTCACGGAGAGGAAAATCACCTGGGATCATCTGATAAAGCAAAACCGATTGGTACCATTGGAAATATCAGAAAAAGACTCGGGAATTCCCGAATCGGTGTGCAGTCGACCGTGCGTTGTCGGTGAGTACAAGATCCCGAAACAGCTTGAATGCTGCTGGGAGTGCAGATTATGTCGAGACAACGAGAGAATCGCTGACAATAGAACTAGCTGCGAACCCTGTGAGCTCTTCACCTGGCCCGACCCGAACACAGATTACACCTCGTGCAGCCCCATCCCGCTGTCGTTCCCTCCAGTGTCCAGCACGTTGTCCGTTTTGCAAATTTGCTTCGCGTTCCTCACCATAGCAGTGACGTTAATCGTCTGTGGCGCCTATTATTTTTACCAAGAGTCGCGTGTCATTAAAGCGTCCAGTAGGGAGCTGAGTGTCCTCCAGCTTGCGGCCATCCTCCTCGGTTATCTAACGGTCATCTGCTTCCAGGTGGAGCCATCTGGTCCACTGTGCAGTATGGTCTATTTCCTGTTCTGTCTGAGTTTCGACTCGCTCTATGCTCCATTGCTTGTCAAGAGTGTCAGGATCTATCGAATTTTTCAGAGTGGCTCCACCAACACAAAGTCGCTGATATTCACCAGTCCAAAGTCTCAAATGTTCATAGCATTCCTCATAATTTCAGTCCAGGTAAAATATTCGTTTTTTTAATAAGAAAATGTATAATAATGAATAATCTAATTCATCAAACCAAACACAATGTCATTGATAACATTATTCAAATTCATTCTCTAAAGTTTGCTTTCATCCATATCGGTGCTCATTTGTAATCACATTATCATATTTATGCATTTTACTTTCTTTCTGGCAGCCTCTGTCAATTGCATATTCTTAAAGGTATTTTCTTCAAAGTTTTCCAACGAGACCATCAGTCTTCCCCTCCAAACAACCTCCTCCGCGTACTCTCTCTGTCCCCAAGACTCGCAAAACACATAGGTGAACGATCTTTCTCTTTCTGTGCCCCCAAACAATGGAATTTTCTTCCACTACACATCCGCAATATACCGACCACCACAGCCTTCAAAACTGCACTCAAACATATCTCTTAAAACTCTACTATCCTGACTGATTCCCCCTCTGACCGATAAACGATGCTGCTTTGTGCCGTCCATGGCTTGACATGTAAATAGTTCTGGAATGGGTTTTGTGAATATACATTTGTTTTGTTTTATTTAATTAATGCATGTTAATTTTTAAGTTCCTGAATATGTTTGTTAAATTGTATGTACAACTCAGTGAGACCAGCCCTAGGCTGGGGTTCCGCTCTGTATAAAATTGCTAATAATAATATAAAAATAAGTTGATATATTCTTTCCAACTCTTCCAAGACTGTATTCTCACTTTAAAACTCAATAGTTATTTTTAACTCAAAAAGGCATTTTTTAAGACTGAAAAAAAAAATGTGTACGATGAATTACAAAAACAAATTTCCATTTATTTGGATCATTAAATATTTCTTATCTTATCTACAAGTTGACATCTTCCTTCTATCAACCAAAACTCATTTATGGTTCCAGTTCCATCATAAGTTGACAATTCGCTTCTATTAACAACAATTTTCTACATTTCTAGTTTTCATAAATCGTACAATTAGACCTAGATATAAGAATGAGCTATGCTGACCGAAACACCAAAGAACCGAAAATATTTAGATATATTCAGGTTCTTAAAAACAATCATGGTTATTTTCTATTATTTTACGGTAATCAAATAAATTTATTTGCGAAAAAATAAAATAAATACGCTTTTATTTTAGTAAAAGTTTAAATATTATTATTATTAATTAAAAATACATTTAACGTAAAAACTAAGGAACTCTTTTAAGCATTTTATCCGAAATTAAAAGTTATGAAAAAAAAATTAAAAATTATGATCTAAGAATTACATGGTAATCCCAATTATCGGGAAAACCCAAACATCTGTTGTTTTAGTGCGTTTTTAGTGCACTGTTAATATTGCGAATAAAATTAAAATTAATTTGTTTTCAATAAATGCGCAAATGACATCATAGCGCAAATCGCTTATGTTAGCTAAACTCTTAAATGTCTATGATTTAATAAAAGCGCGTTACAAAACTAATAATGTATTTTCCTCGTCTTAAAAGTAAAATTAATAAATAAAATTGATTGATTTTTAAATTCTTAATAAAACACACAGACCTTTCAGCTTTGTATTTTTAACATTTAATAAGTTTTTATTTTTTTAATTCCAAAAAATATACTTTTATTTAATTTATGACGTAATAAAAACTTAACTTTTAAATATACTTCTAAAAAGAAAATGCCGTTTAAATCATGTAGGAGCCAGAATAAATAATAAATAATTTAATCTTGGCCGCTAAAAATATAGAAGAAGAAGAAGTCAATGATAGCAGCGAAACTCCATATCCAAATAGCATTCACTAATCCCCTTATAACTCATCCAAATAAGAACAAACCATATGAACTGCAAAATATGTTAGTTTTGGGTATGGACGGGACTACAATACGGTGAAAAATTTATTACTCTTATTTAAATCCCCTGGGGTTGGTCGTTTTGCCCCACACAGCACAAGATATGTCTCAAAATAAAGGAATGAATTTGATAACTAATTAACCTTCTTGGGTACATACATATCGGAGGTTGGAAATAGAATGTGTATATTCTTAAGTGGCTAACAATATATTTAAATCCTATGGTATTACATTTGTAAAAAAAAGAGGTGTTACATTCTCTTTTTAAAAATAAAAATATGTTTACCAATTAAGAAAATTAATGCTGTTAATAAAACTTTGGTACATTTATATAAAAATACCTATGAATATCAAAACCCAATTATTTTACACACTTGAAAATTTAATTTTGAAAACTGGATAAGGTTTAATATTTTCTTTTAAAAAAATGAAAATATATTTTTGTCTTTACGTTGCGAAATGTAAAGTGGGTGTTTATTTTTATGAGATTAACAAACAAAATTTTTTAAGACACTCAATACTTAGAGACGTGAAAAACGTTTGCAAGAATCTTCTTTAGATCAAAGAATTCTTTGTTTTACGATTTTCAGATAATGTATAATTTAAAAAATAAAGCAAACGTGTGTCTAAGGTTTTGATAAAGATATCCTTTAATATAAAAAATATTTATATCATATATAGTTTTTTTTGGGTTGTAAATTTAAGATAAGTTTTCACAATTTTTAGAGAAAAAGAGCATGAAAAGGGGTTAATCCAAAGTATTTCTCTAGCGTAGAAATGGTCCCTAAATTAACTTCTTTAATGACAAAAATGTTATAATTAGTGATAATTTAGATTGGGTAATTTAAGCTCATGTTTAGAAAAGGGGGGGGGGAGTAGTTTATGGGCGTGAAAGGGAGTAGGGTAGTCATATAATATAGAGCAGATAAACACTTCTCAATCCTTAATAATGTTTGAAACGTAAATGGATAGTTCTTTTTAAAGTTAGGAATTGTGATGAGTTTTGAGGGGCTCATTCTGGCTCCTGGTTTAAATTCAGAGTTTGCCTTCTCTTAGATGGGTTGCCCGTCCAAGGCTATCGAGTCCCAACTACCCGGAGTGCTTGGGATGTTGGCTTTGGTGGGGATTGAACTACAGACCACCAACTATTTGGTTTGAAACAGTTTAGACCGCTCGGCCACCCAGCACTCATAAAGACACTTATGGAACCCTCCAACTAATTATGGGGGACGGCATTAAAACCTCTAAGGTCCTCAGGTGTAGTGCTGGTCCAAAAAGGTCGAGAGACTTGTTGGGTGCTTGTGCATTTATTTCTTTATTTTTATTGGGTTATGCTAAACGTCCATTGTCGTCCAAATACAGACGGCATCAAGTAGAATACAGAACAGGACTAAAGAGCCCTGATATTATCAAATAGACCCTGATTCGTACGGTAAATGGGCTTAATATTGCGTACTGTCATGTGAAAAGTGCAAATCTCTGTCAGTTCTGATGTACTTTGAAATTTAACATTGATACAAATAAGCCTTAAATTAAGCGGTGCAACAATCATATTTCAGATTGAATGGTGTTACAATCATATTTCAGATTGAATGGTGTCACAATCATATCTCAGATTGAATGGTGTTACAATCATATCTAAGATTGAATGGTGTTACAATCATATTTCAAATTAAATGGTGTAACAAGCATATATCAGATTGAATAGTTTAAAAATCATTTCTCAGATGGAATGGTGTTACAATTATATTCAGATTGAATGGTGCAATAATCATATCTCAGTTTCAATGGTGTGACAATCATATCTCAGATTGAATGGTGTACCAATCATATTTCAGATTGAATGAGGTTTGAAGGTTATCTCGATTATGTATTTTTATTATCACAATTTGTACTGAAATGCGTGGAAATCTCACCGTGAAGTATTACAATCTTACATCTCAACAAGCAGTGTTACAATATTACCTCTCACTGAGCAGTGTTACAATCGTACCTCTCACCAAGCAGTGTTACAATCGTACCTCTCACCGAGCAGTGTTACAATCGTACCTCTCACCAAGCAGTGTTACAATCGTACCTCTCACCGAGCAGTGTTACAATCTTACCTCTCACCGAACAGTGTTACAATCTTACCTCTCATCGAGCAGTGTTACAATCGTACCTCTCACGAGCAGTGTTACAATCGTACCTCTCCCCGAGCAGTATTACAATCGTACCTCTCACCGAGCAGTGTTACAATCGTACCTCTCCCCGAGCAATATTACAATCTTACCTCACACAGAGCAATGTTACAATCGTACCTCTCACCGAGCAGTGTTACAATGTTAACTCTCATCGAGCAATGTTACAATCTTACCTCTCATTAAGCAGTGTTACAATATTACCTCTCACATAGCAGTGTTAAAATAGAACTCTCGCTGAGCAGTGTTAAATCTTACCTCTCACATAGCAGTGTTAAAATAGAACTCTCACTAAGCAGTGCTACGATCTTACCTCTCATTAAGCAGTGTTACAATCTTACCTCTCACTGAGCAGTGCTACAATCTTACCTCTCATTAAGCAGTGTTACAATCTTACCTCTCACGGAGCAGTGTTAAAATAGAACTCTCACTGAGCAGTGTTACAATCTTACCTCTCACAGAGCACTGTTACGATCTTACCTTTCACCGAGCAGTCTTACAATCTTACCACTCACAGAGCAGTGTTACATTCTTACCTCTTAATGAGAATTGTTAAAATTTTACCTCTCACCGTTCAGTTTTACAATCTTACCTCTCACCAGCAGGGTTACAATCGTACCTCTCACTGAACACTGTTACAATCGTACCTCTCACAGAGCAGTGTTACAATCTTACCTCTCAAAGAGCAGTGATACGATATTACTTCTCACCCAGGAGCTCTACAATCTTACCTCAGATTATTCCTCTTTCAAATAGAACTCTACTCGTTTTTATTATATTCTATTTAGATTCCTTTGACAGGGTCATTTTCAACTGATGATGTAGATGGCACCGATGTAACATTTCAACTGATTATTATTAAGACGGTACCGCTGTAACATTTAGACAACTAAATAGTACAACACGAGTAAATCGGTTATGAGGTGGTGGTCAGTGGTATAACGGTGCTTGAAAGAGCGAGAATATTGAGTGTCAATGTGTGAGAACCATTCCGTTTTGGAAAATCTAGTTTGCTCTTTTTAAGCTTATTTAACTCTGCTCCTCACCTCGGAACGATCCGTAGCAGAAAATCTAAACTCAAGAATTAATTACAAAAGTTAAAATTGATATTTTTTGTACTAATTGGGTTCGTTTCTCCTTGTTCACAGGTTGCCCTTTGTATTGTGATATATTTCATGTACCAACCCACCGCCCGGAAAACCCAACCCGTGACAACCGAGAAATTCGTCGAGCTCACCTGTGACATGACGCTACCCGGCCTGGCCTCGTTCCTGGCCTACAACCTCGTTCTGGTCTTGCTGTGCTCACTTTTTGCCTTCAAGACAAGGAAACTTCCTGACAACTTCAACGAATCAAGATTCATTTCTATGTGCGTGTCCACCACGCTGGTCATCTGGTTGGCATTTATTCCAACCTACTTTACAGCGGGCCGCGAGTTTGTCCGCGTCCTTCTGCTATCATTGGCCCTCCTGCTCAACCACACCGTGGCTCTAGTGTTTCTCTTCTTGCCCAAGATCTTCGCAGCAGTCTATTTACCAAACGATAGTCGTTTTGGTTCGAGAGTAAATCCAGCAATGGCGACCGTTTCATTTCCTGCTGCTAAACATTGCTCCGACATATGATAATGTCTACTAAATGTGGAGATGGGGTTCAACAGTGATAAAGTTTTGTTTCCAGGGGCGTAGTTATATTCAACAGGGTGGGAAAATAAGAAACTGTAAGCGGGTTTCAAATCCTAGCGACTACGATTAATAATTTACAATAAAATATTTCTATTTTAGTTGCTGTCCTGTCAATAAACATAACGGGTCTGATTTTAATCATGGATGATTTGCAAAATTGACTTTTAGATGAGAAAATTCAGTTCAAACCCAGAACACTTGGTCGGTGTAACAATCTCGGACTTGAAAGTTATTTGTCCGGAGTTAAAAGCCAAACTGTTATAATTATTATATAAAATGCATACCATCAGTTTGAAGACTTTGTTTAACAAAATAAAATGCGCTCGTAGTCTGCATAGCTAAAATCACCCCATCTTTAAGCTTCATGTTAAGCGTTTTTTTTTTTCAGCTCAGTTAGAAGCGCAACAAGAATGCATGTATTGGTTAGCACTATCTGACCATGGAGCACAGGGTGATTGATGCTTCATTAATCCACATTCCGCAACAAGCTTGGGTCCATATGGGAACAAGGCTACTGGCAGATTAAGTCGTAAAAAAAATTAATTTCAAAAAGGAAAAAAAAACCTGAAAAAATAAATTGGTTTGGACTTTTAATTAAATTTATTTATTAATTTATAATAGCTTATTGATATGGTCTAATTTCGTTTGGTCTAGTAACCCTTCAAATTTTACGGCCTTCTTTCGTTAGTCTAATACCTAACTCCGATGGCGAATACTTGATGTCTCACTTTATGTCAAACCTGTTGGTTTAATTCTCGCCTCCCTCTTGGTCAAGTAACTCAAACATTGAATAGTCCATTGTAAATTATGTTTCCATGTACTAAAACATCCACTTGTTACATAAATATATCTGGCAGAGAAATATCCTCAGGCAACAAGCTCCACAGCAAATCTAACATAAATACTATCTGCCTCTGCTCGAATCTTGACTACTCTAACGATCTACTCTGGACTCTCGACTCTCACAACTTTCGACTCTCACAACTCTCGACTCTCACAACTTTCGACTCTCACAACTCTCGACTCTCACAACTCTCGACTCTCACAACTCTCGACTCTCACAACTCTCGACTCTCACAACTCTCGACTCTCACAACTCTCGACTCTCACAACTCTCGACTCTCACAACTCTCGACTCTCACAACTCTCGACTCTCACAACTCTCGACTCTCACAACTCTCGACTCTCACAACTCTCGACTCTCACAACTCTCGACTCTCACAACTCTCGACTCTCACAACCCTCGACTCTCACAACTCTCGACTCTCACAACCCTCGACTCTCACAACTCTCGACTCTCACAACTCTCGACTCTCACAACTCTCGACTCTCACAACTCTCGACTCTCACAACTCTCGACTCTCACAACTCTCGACTCTCACAACTCTCGACTCTCACAACTCTCGACTCTCACAACTCTCGACTCTCACAATTCTCGACTCTCACAACTCTCGATGATCTCGCTTCTCTAACTCCTCCCGACTAACTAACACACTGCCCTTTTATATCCCCCCAAAAAACCACTCAGCATTCAACACCACGAACCAACTTCACGCACTGACAATCTGGTTCACAACCCTTTTTTTTTCATCTATAAATATAAAATGAATGTCTGTATCTTTGTATGTCTCGTATGCGCTCATACGCCATTCATGCAATTATGACAAAACTTTGGTCAGTTGTTTTTCACATAACCGGCCATTTAACTGAGTGATTACAACCCTTATGCAATGTACCGTTTTTAGCCGTTGATCCTTTATACGTTTTTTTTTTCTTATATGAGCTTTGTAAAAAATAATTTCCATATGCGCTCCTACGCCATTTATCCGATGCCATTAAAACTTTGGTGAAATTTTGCGATCATATTTGTAAAGGTTTCTAAATTGCTACAACCGTTTTAAAATTTTCAGTTTTGAGCCAGGGGCTCTATATTCCATTTTCCTATTTTGAGTTATATAAATATATTTTCAAGCCGTATGCGCTCCTACACCATTCATGCGATTGCACTAAAATTTTGGGGAGTTGTTTTCCATACGTTCAGCATTTGACTGTGTTATTTAAACACTTTTAAAATATTCCGTGTTCAGGCCGTTGGCCCTTCATTCGTACTTTTTCTCATATGAGCTTTGTAAAAAATAATTTTCAATGCGCTCCTACGCCATTTATCCCATTACATTAAAAATTGGTGAGATGTTGCCGCCAGCACGACCGCAAAGGTTTTTGAATCATTAGAACCGTTTCAAAATATTCCGTTTTGAGCCCGGGGCCCTATGTTCGTTTATTCCGTTTTGAGCCTATGTTCGTTTTTTTCTAATATAAACTATATAAATATATTTTCAAACTGTATGCGCTCCTGCACCATTAATGCGATTGCGACAAAACTTTGAATAGTTGTTATTAATAAGCCTGCGCATTTTACTCATTCATTACAACACTTTTAAAATATTCTGTTTTCAGCCGTTGGACCCAAATTAAAATTTTACTTATAAGAGCGTTGTAAAAAATAATTCCCGTAAGCGCTCCTATACTATTTTTCAGAATGCGATTAAACTTTATTGAGATTTTGTGCATACGCCCACAAAGGTTCTTAAATTATTACAACCGTTTAAAAAAATTCAAGTTTGAGCCAGGGGCCCTATGTTCGTTTTTTCTAATATGAGCAATATACATATAATTTCACATTGTATGCGTTCCTTCACCATTCAAGCGATTGCGATAAAACTGAGTTAATGCATGGATCGATAGCTTTTTAATAAATTATAAATTGTGACATTAAATTGTGTGTGTGACATATCAAGTAGGTTTCTGAAGTAATACAACAATTCTACTATATTCCGTTTGTGGCCGGGGGCCCAAAATTTGTTTTCCACCCTTTTATTATCTATATAATTATCGTATGCATTTCTAAACCATTCATCCGATTGTGATAAAACGTAATCAATTGAAATGAGCACTACCGCAAATGTTTCTAAATTAGAAAAACTTTTTACAATATTCCGTTTGGGCCAGTGACCATAATTTCGTTTTCTCTTCTAAGAGATTTATAACTATAATTTCAAACAGAGCTATTGCATGTGTGGATGGAGCTGAATCCACTCGCAAATTTTTCATTCTTAGTACAGTCATTTTACAACATTTATTTTCGTTTTCTTAAATGAGCTTCATCAATATAATTTAAAACGGAGCTATCAACACTACCTCCCTCGAACAAATGACACATTTGTAGTAAAGCAGAGAAAACACGTTTTTTTGAATTTTTAGAGTAGAGAGTATTTTTGTTATTTTTATAAATAAGCTTGAATTTTGTGATGTATTTTATAATCAGATATGACGTTGAACACATTCTGTTGTTTTTTTAATTAAAAGTATTTCTTGAATAGAGTCTTATAATTTCGGAGTTTTTTTGTGTTATGTAAAGACATTTTACATTAATCGATGGTTTCTTAAGTAATTAAATAACACACTTGGCTATTCCTGAGAACAGTGCCCATGGCGGCGTTTCCGTGTGTACTCAATAATGTGCATACCCATGACGTCATTATAAGTCATTTGCGTGTTTATTAAATATTTGTGCGGCGGCGAAGGAATATGTTAACAACCGGTTGGAACAAGATTTCATGTGAATAATTAACGAAGTGTATAAGAAAAGTTAAATTTTATGTTTTATAAGTTTAATTTTATGTTTTTAATATTCATATTAAGAGTGTGGAATTTTTAGAATGTTACAAAAACTAATGAAAAATAGAGAAATTTATTTTCTTATAGGGTACTTTAAAATTATGCGGATAGACAAAGGTGTGACTTAACATTAGGTCCTTCTCTTCTTCTCATTGTGCTCCGGGTGTGTGGCGGTAAGTTTGAAATTTGTTAATTTATGCAACAACAATTTGGTTATTTTTAGATAAATTTTGGGTAAATTTACGCAGATGATGGACGTTAAATTTACGCCCGTCTGGAAAGTCAGGGCGAAAGGAGTGTGATGGATTGGTTAATGAATGATGGTCTTATTGCAGACCGGTACGAATGTCCTAATTGTAAGAAGGGCATGAAATTGTGTGCAAAATCGGGTGTTTCAGATTGGTTTGCATGGAGATGCGGTGACGAAAGCCATGGCTGTATTATTCGTAGTATAAGGAAGGGATCGTGGTTTAGTGAAAGTAAATTGACATTTAGTAACATTCTATTATTGACACACTACTGGGTGAAAAAAACTGCCTAAGGGAAATATTGCGACAGAAGTGGGGGTTAATCCAAATACAGTAACATACTGGGTGAGCTTTTGTCGCGAGGTATGTGCGGAAGCGTGTGTTTTGGTGAGTGAGCGCTTAGGCGGAGTGGGTAAAATTTTGGAAATTGACGAATCCAAATTCGCTAAGAAAAATATCATAGAGGCAAACGAGTAGAAGGGAAATGGGGGTTTGGTGGGGTCGAAAGAGGATCCAAGAAATCCTTTTCAGGGTTGTTGAGAACCGCGGCAAAGACGTCCTCCTGGCAATAATTAAAGAATTTGTGCAGCCAGAGACCACAATCATTTCTGATTGTTGGAGGTCGTACGACTGTTTAGAGGACGAAGTGTTTCACCACCTGAAGGTGAACCATAGAATTCAGTTCAAACACCATGAAACGGGCGCGCACACCAACACCATAGAGGGCACTTGGAGTGCAATAAAAAGATCCCCGCCCACGAGAACCTGTCATGGGGAGCAGCAGTTCGACTCATATTTATTTGAATATATGTGGCGACGCTCATCTGGCAATAGAGATAAGATGAGAGCATTTTTAAATGTAATAAAAATTGTATATCCTCCCCATTTACGAGATCTTGATTCGTAAAGAGTGAG